CCCCCCCCCCAGGCAGCAATGGGCTGGGCAACCCCATCCCCATGGGGCACGGTGACTGGAGGGGCATCCCTGTGCTGGGAACTCATCCCTCTCCCCGGCTGAGCCCAGGGCCAGGCACCGTTCTTACGTGTCCGGGCGGTGAGGGTGGTGGGGACGGTGGGCTGCTGCGCGTAGCGGGATCGGAGCGTCACCACATACTCGGTGTCGGGGCGCAGGTTGCTCAGCGTGGCCGACTGTGCGCTGGCCCCCAGGCTCTTCTCTTCCCCCTGGGCTGCCCCTGGAGGGGGAGGTGGAGGGGTAAGGGTGGGCACGGGGGCACAGCCAGGCCCGGCAGGGAAGGGGTGTCTGCGGGCCCGCACCTTGCCCCAGGGATGCCAGTCGGTGCCAGGGGTGGGGAGCGCTGGGAGAGGCTGGGATGGCGGCCAGGGCAGGGGCACCCATCGGAGCGCCCGGGGCCAGGGAGGGGCTTCCAGGTGCACGGCTCCAGCCCAGCACCCGGCTGGGACGGGGGTCTGCTGCCCACCCCCCACGCGGAGCAACCGCAAGGGCACGCGCATGCCTGCGCTCTCAGCCCCGGGCAGGGGCACCCATGGGGGCCGCTGGCCGTCATGCACACCCGTGCGAGCGCTTCGAGCCCTGCGCGTCAAAGCCTCCGGGCGTAGGAACACACACGCCGCCTCCACGCCTCTGTACGCACACGTGCCCCGCAGCCTGCGCACGAGCGCCGGCCGCCGCGGTGAGGGCAGGCGCGCACACACCCACAGTGCTTTTGGCATGCACCCCCCGCATCACCCCCATGCGTGTAACCCCCTTCCCCGAGCACGCACCCTGCCATGTCCTGCCCGGCCCATGGGCCTGCGCAAAGGTAGGGCATCCAGACAGGACCACCCGCTCGCAGGGAAAGTACCCTCACCTTGCACGGTGTAGCTGAGGCTGTAGCCCTGGGGGGGCTCGGGGCCAGGCTGCCAGGCCAGCCGCAGGAAGGTCGGTCCAGTCTCCACCACACGGAAATCCAGCACGGAGCCAGCACGGCTCTCTGAGGGCACAGGGAGCCAGGGATGAGCCCCCAGCCCCACATGCCATAGGCACCCGGCGCCTGCCCGCGTCCCCGTCCCTGTGGCATGGACACTCACGGGTGCGTGCTCGGCCGGACACCGACTCGCCGATGCTGTTGGCGTACTGGGCAGTGACCGTGACCAGGTACTCCGTCCCTGCGCGCAGCCCCTGCAGCACAGCGCTCGTCTCCCGCGGCCCCAGGCTCACCTGGGCAGGGACAGCGTCACCCCCCTGCCATTCCCAGGCCACGCGTGGGGCCGCCAGGGACCCCCAGGGACTCGGAGCAGGGAGGTGGGAGCGCTTACCTCCTGCCTCTCTGCCACGATCGGCTGCCCCAGCCCCGTCAGCGGCACGCGCTGCACCCGGTAGCCGGTGACAGGGCCGCTGGCTGCCGTCCAGCGGATCCGCAGCTGGTCAAGGCCCCGCTCCAGGATCTCCATGTTGGAGGGTCCGATGTGGCTCGGCCCATCTGTGGGGGACCACAGGAGCTGTCAGCTCCAGGGTGCATGGGGTGGCGGGGAATGCTTGGCGGGGTGGCACAGCCACGTTCCCAGTGGGGCAGGATGGCCAGGAGGGCATTTTGGGGAGGATGGGTGCTAAGCGTGCACCGAGGGTGAGCGCAGCCTGGCAACCAGCACCGCCAGCACCCATACCCCACGGGAAGGAGGGTGAGTCCCCATACCCATGAGGCGCAGGGTGCCCCCGACGCTTGTGCACACCCTGCGTGTCATTAGCGGCACCAGCGTCCCCAGCAGCTTGAAGTCACCAACATAGAAGAAGAAGGCATCGGTGGGCATCGAGGCCACACGCATCAGCTCCTTGTGGTCAGCATTCTTGATCCCTGGCGGGGATGGAGATGATGGGTGAGGGCAGGGACCCTGAACCTGAGGGGACCCCCCCTCACCTGGCACCAAAGCCTTGCTCACCCACAGCGAAGACCTTGATGCCCTGGCTCTTCAGCTTTGCTGCCGGCCCCTCAGCATCATCCTGGGACTTGCCATCCGTGATGAGGATGCAGATCTGCGGGGCCGGGCGAGAGCCATGAGACCCAGCCCAGCACCCACAGACCCACCGCATCCCCTCCCAGGTGTCCCCAGGGCCACCGCCCTGCAGGTACCTGGGGGACCCCTGGCCGGAGCTGTGTGGGGCCGAAGAAGTTGTCAGCGACGTAGCGGAAGCCGGCACCGGTCCGTGTGTTGCCGCCCTTGTAGCTCAGCTGCTGGATGGCCCTCCGGACGCTTGTGCCGTCGGTGTGCTGGGAGAAGGGGAACTCCACCCTGGGGGGCGCAGGGGACGTGTCATCTCCCAGCCCTGCCGCCCCACTGTCCCGCACGCCCCCTGCCCGGGGCTCACCGTGGATCATCGCTGTACTGCGCCACAGCGAAGCGCACCGCTTTCTCGCCCACCACCTGCACGAAGGGCCCCACCAGTTCGTCCATGAAGGTGCGGATGGCGCGGAAGTTGTTCCGGCCAATGCTGGATGAGCCGTCCACCAGGAAGACGATGTCGGCCTCCAGCACGTCCTCGCACACTGCTGCGGGGTGGTGACAGCACTCAGGGCACGGACCGGCACCACGGCACGGTGGTGCTGGGCCCCTCTCGCACCCCTGCCACCGTGTGCCCCCGGTGCTCTGCACCCACCTTGGCTCCTCTTCTGCGCTGTGGCAGCCGGGGGGCCCAGGAGCACCGGGAGCATGGCGAGGAGCAGGAGCCGGCCGCTCATCGTGGGAGCCTGCGGGAGAGGATGCTGCCACCACCACCCCACACCAGCCCCATGCCTCTGGGGACAGCTGTGACAGAGCGGCAGGGCCCGGGAGGGCCCAGCACCGTGCCGTGCCGGGACGCCTGGCAGCCTCAGGAAGGCAAGGCGTCAGCGCCACGCTGGGCACCACTGCTGGCACCCTTCGGTGCCGGGGAGAGCCCCCGCTTTGGGTTAGGGCAGGGAGGCGGCAGGGCTGTACCCGGCCGCGTTACCACACGTCGCCCACGCCGGAGAAGCGACCGGCAGCACCCAGTGCCCGCACAGCACGCCGGGTCTGCCGGCTCACCGAAAAGCGCCGGGTGGGCAGCATCTGGCCTGCATCTGGCCGAGCGGGAGCAGTGCCGGTGGCTACCCCATGGCAGGGCACGGGCCGTCGGCGGTGGCGGGTGCGGGAGGGCACGGTCGCGTGTGTGCCCCGCGCCTGGCCCCGCTCCAGCTCTCCCCGTTCAGCCTGGCCGGGCCTGGCCCGCGGCCCCGTTCGCTGCCCGGGGGTGCCGTGCCCCGGCCGGCGGGAGGCTGCCAGCCCCGGCTGCAGGGTGTGCGCGGGCTCTGCCTCCACAAGCCCTTCCCGCCGCCTGCTCCGCGCCTCGGCACCGGCGGCAGCTCACCCCGGCTGCTCCTGCCCACCGGGTCCCCCTGCCTGCGGGGGCTCCCCACCACCCGGGGAAGGCTGGCAAAAGCGGGGTGCTCTAGGGCAGCGGGGAGCCGGGGTGGGCAAGCCCTGCCCGCGAAACCCCACGCCCCGCCGCTTCCCACGCACACGGGGGGCACCCGGCCTGACACCACAGCGATGGCCACCCCGGGTCTCAGCCCAAGCACGGCCCCGGACCGCCTGAACCCGGGAGGTGCGAGCCCGGGGCGGCCGCCCCGGCGCGGGAGGGCGGACGAGCGCCCACGGGT